CACCATCCAATCACCCCTTTATCAACGCTCCACCCCATACCCTCTCACTCGTTAAAAATAATTAAATACTGTAAGGCCTACGGGCAACAGCACACCAACCCATGTAAATCCAAATGTAAAAATTTGACGGCAATAAAACCATTTACAAAACCGAACTGAACGTAATTTTCCGAACGAGCCTGAGAGTAACGCACGCACTTTCTGGACGACGATCCATTCTCCTTAAAATCAACGGACGGTACATTATTGTCGGTGTGCGGGGAAGCAGGTTCGTTCGCTATGAACGGTACATGACATGATCAAAGTCCTTGAAACCCCACCGGGACTACTCCTCTTCACTACACACGCCATGTGCCCCAGACTGCAGAGGTCCCTCTCACCACTCCTCCCATTACGGCAGCTCCCTCCTCCCGACCACACATTCCCCCCGCTCCAGCCCAGGTCACCTCCCCCTCCCCTCCCCGACGTGATGCAGTTATTCTGCTCTCACTTTGTCCGCAACAGTCGCACTGCGAGTGCGTCGTGAGCGGCCCTGGAAGGAACGCATAAAAGTGGGGGCCTCTCTCTCTCTCTATAGTCACGCGGGGTGAGCCTGGCGCCTGGCCGGGCGGGGCGGGGCGGGGGAGCGGTAGTGGATAGGGGGTTTTATGCCGGCCGTTCCGAAGCGCGTTTACGGTTTGTGGCGCGCGGTACGCACCCCCCGGGCCCTCCCCGACAGACCCCACCCACACGCCGCCATGAATCGCTTTTGCTGCTAAACAAACAGGCCGCGTCTGTGGCGATATGACAAACAACGGCGACTCTGCATCCCTTCAGATTTAGCTGCGGTGCGCCGTGACAGTGGAGAGAGACAGAGACAGACATTAGGAGAGAGGAAGGGAGCGCAAAGCACATGAAGGGCGTGTGTTGTCTGAAAGCCATGTACACACAATTTCTAACAGCTTTTGTTGTTTGCTGGTGAGAATGTTTGAGTCATCGTAATTAGTATTAGTAAATGAAGCAAACGTCATATTTCCCACAGTCGTTGCTGCGTGAGATATTTTTTTTCAAATCAGTGCATTGGATAAACCGTGTCTAGGCCAGCCCCCCACCCCTCACATCCCACATCCCCCTCGCCCTCGACCCCCACAACCCGCCGACCCGACTCCCTCGGACGCGAATGCTTCAGACAGACAGGCGTGCAAAATTGATGTTATCGCTGTTCCTCTTTTTTGGGCTGAGCAAAGACGTGGCTTACAAAAGAGAGCGTGTTTCTCACGCCGGCCCCCCGCCACCACGCACAAGTCGACTGGAGCCACTTCGCGCCAAAGAATATCCCATAACAGTGCGGGGCGGCGGGGCGCCGCACCGGCTCCAAGCTCCGCCCCTGGAGATGGAGGTATGGGGCTAGAAATAGAGCTAGAGCTGGAGCTGGGGCGGCTAACCGCCATCTTGGAGACCTACGGGTAAGGGGAGCGGTCGGAACGGTCGGTCAGCTCAGCTCTGCGGGAATGGAAGCCGTGGATACGCGCCGGGTGTAGGCCTCGGCCGCGCCTCCCGCGAGGCGCAAAGGGCGGGCGCGCCGCGCCAGTGGGGTGTGGCCAGAGCTCGCCAGGGCTCGCGAGAGCTGCGGCGGGGTGGCTGAACGTCGCTGGGCGCCTCCCGGAGCGGAGAGAGAGCGGAGCGCGGCTCGCCGCTCCCTCCAGCAGGACCGGTACGATCCGGTTGGCAGGCGCGCCCCGGGGGCCCGACCGCGGGGCCTCGCCTGCCTGGGGCGGGGCGGGGTGGGGCGCTGCGGGGCTCAGGAGCTCCAAAGTGTCCCGCATGCCCTGCCCTGCCCTACCCTGCACTAATAGCGTGCACGGCGTGGCACGCCGGCACGGTACGGCAGGCCGCACTTAGACGGCGGTATATAGCGCGAAAGGTCTTGACGCTTCAGGTTTTGTTCCCTCTTCTTTTAAGAGGGAGGGTGGGGGTGCGGTCGGACTCTCGAAAGTTTAAAATTTGGGCATGGCAGAATTTTAGCCAACAGACTTCAAAGGTGTAGAAACGTTCAACGGCCATAGCTGTGTCAAAGTTTTGGTCACTTTAGCTTAATTGACTGAAATAGTTGAAAGTGTTGGGAACTGTCGAAAAAGTAAGAACCTCATAACCTGAACCTAAGACCTTAAATTATTCAAATTGATTTTCAAGTGCCAGTCTACCGTCTGTCGCTGCGAGAGGGCGAGGGCCGCAGCGTGCACCGCGTCAAAGTGTACGCGGACTGTAAGTGGACCGTCGAAAGGACAGAACTTTGGCTGTGAAGCCGTGGGGAGCTGTAGTGAGTGGGGCGAAGGGAATAAGGTGAGAGGAAAGGGAGGGGGGGGGGTGCTGCTAACAGCGAAAACTTGTCCGGCGCGGGCTGCAGTCCCAGCACGCGGGCACACTGCGGCCGACCCGGGCACGCCCGCGCACCGCCGCACCACCGGACGATCACGCCCGGGCTGAATCCGGCATAATCCGTGGACCATCGATCAGGACTGTCTGTTTATAATTTTAACAGGTTTACGGCTTTCGCCTGCTGATTTTGGTTTGGCTTACTGAAGAACAACCAGAACAACCCACCTGCTCCCTCTGGCTCCAGAGTGCCGCCCTCGGTCTCATCTTCTTCCTACCCGTTGAAGTATCATATGGGAGCTGCCCGGAACCGCTATTCGAAGAGCAGAGAGCAGGACTAAATCCTTTGAATTGCGATACTGGCATCTCTCTGGAATGCCTGATAGCGCGCGTCTGCAGACCTCCCGTGCGCCGTGCGCGCCTGCACTCTCCCCAACCTATACCCCGTGTTCAGGACGCGATTGGACCCACGAACCACCCTATCCGACCCCATCTCACCACGTCGCTACAGTGCCCCCTCGGCCTAGCCCGGCCCGGCCCGGCGTTGGACGAGGTTAGTTTTACTTTCAGGGCGCAGTATAAAGTGCGGAGCGCGCGGTGGGCGACAAGGTCGGGGGTGAGGGCGGGGGCGAAGCCGGGCCGCAGCTGAAGGACCCTATCCCCCTTTTCCTTTTTATTTCTCTCCCTGGATTCACGTCGCGCTGTCCGGCACGTGACTGGTGGGGATGAGTCGCGTTTGAATTCCAGCCAAGAGAGTTCTCTGAAGTGGGCCACAGCTAAAAGAAAAACACGGATCGGCAGGGTCGCCAGGCAGAGGAGAGCCGTTGTGGAGCGAGCGAGCGCGCTGAGGCCGCCCGGGAGCGCCCGGCAGGTAGGCAACGCGGGCGCAGCCGTGTGTGGCGGGCCGGCCTGGCAGCGCGGAGCCCCGGTCCCGTCCCGCGGAGAGGGAGCGGCGGGGAGCGGCCCGACTAACGATCATCTGCAGTCTGGCGAACGACCAACACAGTTCCTGGCGAGGGCCGACAGCACCCGCCAGTGCTGTACCGGTATGATTTATACGTCAATGAAGTAGCGCCCGCCCCCCGCCCCCCACGCACACACATATCTGAAAGCCACGGCGGAAAGCGGCGCGAAAGTGACGGATGACCCGGAAAGGCGGCGGCGAGCCAGGCCAGCCCTGGCCCGCGGCTCTCGGTGCACACGCGCGCGCGCGGCACGGCACGGCGCGGCCGCGACAACGCAAGCCCCCACCGCGAGCATTGAAAAATGCTTTGTCATGTCGTGTTTTTGCGGATGTCTGCGTGAGGCGAGGAGCCGTTTGGCTGGCTGGCCCGCTGTAAATCATCGCGGAGGAACAGCCTCAGCTCTGTGCGGGTGACGGGGCCGGGCGCGGGACGGGGGGGCGGTCGAGTAGTAGAAGGAGAGCAAGGAAGAGATCACGTGACAGCGGGGCCAAGGAGAGCCCGGCGGCTGTCCACGGCACTCCCGGACGGTGAGGGTGCCCCCCCCCCCACCCACCCTTGGCCTGACCCTCTCTCCGTAAGGTATGCGGAGCGGAATGCCGAGCGGACCCCCTGGTGCAGCTCCATCAGCCCCAGCCTGACTGAGCGCGGCGTGGCCGTGGCGCGCTGCACTGGGCCGGCCGGGCCGGCCTCATCACCGCCAGCCCCACCTACGGTCATTCCAGCCGCCCATTGCGACCCCAGCAGGGTAATCCCATTACGACGAGCCGTCATCGCAGCCATCAGAGACCCCCCCCCTCCCCCACTACCCTCCTCCACCGCCACGTACCACGTGGACTCTGGGAGAACTTTTTGGGGCGCTATAAACACTCCCCACTTTCCTTTTTGCAAACTTTATTTACTTCCAGCACCCCCTCCCCCATTCTTTTTCCGCCTCCCCTGTTCTCCTCTCGGCTCCCCCCGTGATCCGGCGAGCCAGCCAACGCCAACCTCCTATTACTACCACAGAACCTTCCTGCTGACCAGTGCAATGAACGGCCCCTTCGCTCTCACCCCTCTCCAACTCAGTCTACCCTCCGGGCCTTCTTTCTTCTTCCACCCTTCTCTGTCTCTCCAGCCCCCTTTCGCTTTTAGTCTGTCTGTCCGCCCGTCTGCCTGCCTGCCTGTCTGTCTGTCTGTCTGTCTGTCTGTCTGTCTGTCTGTCTGTCTGTCTGTCTGTCTGTCTGTCTGTCTCTATATCTGTCTCTATATCTGTCTCTCTCTTTCTCTAACTCAACTCGCTCGGTTACGACCCAGCTCACGAGAGTCGCGGGGCCGGTCTCACATACTTCTACCACTAAAAGAATTTCTCCACTGCAATACGAGGAGCTACACGCCAAACGTGCGCGACCCTCCAAAACACGACGGGCACAACCCGCCCTCCCCCATCCCTCGCCCACCTCCCACGTCCCGCGCCCCCTCCCCCGTCCCTGCTCGCCGCGTCTCACTCGTGAGGGACGTGCGGCGACAGTAGGGTGGGCCGCAAAAGTAAAAGTGCCTCCAGCTGGTGCGGAAAGTGTCCCGACGAGTTATTACTCTTTTCTGCACTTCGCGCCCGCGAGGGGGGCGTGGCGCGGCGTGGAGCACGGGCACACCCAGTTCCCGCCCCGCCACCGCCCCGGCGGCCGTGCCGTAGACACTCACGGTTCTCTTCACATCCTGACAGCCCCGGTGCGGCACTGCGACAACCTCCGGACGCATAGAAGAGGTGCACGACGACGCACTCGGTCGCGGCGACAGGCGCTGCGCGGCGGGGGCCTGGCGGTTAGACTGGGGATGATCAACATGTGGGGCTCGGCGCGGCTCGGCTCGGCCCGGCGGCTCGGCTCGGCACGCGTCGCGCGGCTCGGTGCGGCCCGGGCTGGCCTGGCAGGGCGGCGTCCCGCTCACGACTAGGGCCTCCAGCGCCATGCCCCCGCCGGGCTGCGCCGGGCCTGGCTCGGCTCGGCTCGGCTTGGCTTGCTCGGCTCGGGGGGCCGGCGCGGCGCGAGCAGCCGACCCCAAAACATCAATACCGGCGGGGCCGTGCCCACCCCTCCCGCTCCCTCCCCCTGCGTGCCCCGCCCTCCACGACCAGGGGGTTGCCGGTGCGTCCCGCCGGGGGGCGCTCGCGCAGCCTCGTAACCCTTGCCCCCTCCCGGATGACTATCCGTTCCTTCCCGCCCGGAGGTTCCTGTGCGTCCCTGCAGGGGCGCTGCCCCCTTGCCCCCGCGCCCAGCCCCTCCCGACAAACCCCTTTGAACGGGTGGTAGTCATGTAACTGCTGCCGGTCTATCCTGTCCACCAGGCCTGCCCGGGACAGCATCGTTTGACTTCGCCCCACAACGCCACACCACCACCACCACCTCTTCCCCCGGCGCTCTCTGGAGTGCCCCTCCACCCGTCCTCCTCCCCTGTTCCCCTTTCACCTTTTCCCTTCCTCTCTTCGATTTCTCCCCGTGCTCTCCGGTGAGCCCCACAGGACCCTTTCCATCCACGCCACCTCCAAATTCCAATCAGCGCTTTAATAGGAGCTGTCTAGAGTGTCTCAGGTCGGACAGGAGAGGGGGAGGGGGAGAGGGGGAGAGGGGAATGGCCCCTTCCTTGTTCTCTCGGCTTTTGCAGCAAGCCATTGGGTTCAATAGTCTCTTCGTTCTCAAGAATTAACACTGCCAGTAAACCAATTACATTTATTGTATAAAAAGTATCACATCAGGTATATTTTAACATAAAATCAACACAAAACTTAAAGAGGAAATCAACAATTTTTGAACGTTGCTCGTCCGTTTCCTTTCATCTTTAAGTCATGGGTTGGTCATTAGACAATATTATCTCTAGTAGTAATTGACAACTGAAAACGACTCTATCAAAGCGAAGGTCACATATTATCACTAATGTTCCCTTCAGCACAAAACCGGTCTACTCGTCCACAATCTCGCAGCTGTGGTACTTGGAGCTGCTCTCCAGCCAGCTCTCCACGCCGCTGGTGGTCAGGTCGTCCGTGGAGGGGAGCTCGTTGAGGGGCTCCATTTCCTGCTGCAGCCGACTGTCGCCCAGCCGACCGTTCGGCACCTTGCCCTGCTGGTATTTCTTGTCCCTGGCTATGTTGTTCTCCTTGGCGGGTGAGTCCACTAGTCGCTCCCGGCTGCCGTGCAGATCTGGAGACGAGAGGATGGTTTGAGTGAGGGGTGCGAGACCGAGGAAGGGGGGCGGGTACACTTCCACAAACCAGGGGTGTCCAGCAAGTGTGCGACTTTAGTCGCACAGCTCATGGAGACCTTGTGGCGAGTGGACAGGACACCCTCGATTTACAGTATGCCGGGCCAAAAGAGGCCTCGTGGTTAGTCAAGTCAAGTATACTCACCGGTGCTGTGGCTGGGCGGCGAGGGCTGCTGCTTGCCGGCGCGCTGGTTTCGCAGCACGCGTGGCGTTGCGCGCGGCCCCAGCGAGGAAGTGAGCGCGGGCAGGCGGATGTCCAGGTGGGAGCCCTTTTGCGTCACGATCTGCGAGGGCGTCTCATTTCGTTAGCACACATTAGGGCGAGAAATATAGGTGGAGGGGGGGGGGGGCTACATGGCATCGCAACGCTCACCTTGCTGTTCATCGAGTACAGCTTGGTGGTGATGTCACTCGCCACAATCGTGCTGACCACGGTAGCGAGGTACGTCTCCTTGACGAACAGGTACTCGAGCGCCGTCCTCTGCCAGAAGAGGTACCGGCACGACGTGGCTGCGATGATAGACACCTGCGCGACACAGAGAGACGATCTTTACTGTATACACCTGCGACAAGGATGGCACTTAAGTACAACGGAGAGAGAACTCACCTTGAATTTGTCATCTACGTTGGCTCTGCTCGACTCAAACTCCGGCGAGTCCAGGAACTCGCAAGGCAGTATTGGGTGCAGGAACTGGTGGTCCGACATGACGTTGACCTTCCCGGAGAGCAGCAGCCCCAGTCGGTCGGTCCTCGTCAGGTTCTGCATGGCGTACGCCTCCCCGGCGTGCAGCGACATGACTTGCGCAAACTCGGCGCTCACCAGCTTCTTGAACTGGAGCCGCGTCACCTGTAAAATTGTGCACCTTCAGATATGGACTAGCTTGTTCTGGAATGAGCACACCTAGTTTCGCTACCGACCTTAAATGGCTGGAAGAGGTTCCGGTACACCTCCTCTAGCTCGGGGTCGAATTTGACCGGCCGCAGCCGGTACACGGCGTGGAACAGCTGCAGCATATTGAGTAGCGCAAAGCCAAAGTTCCACGAGAACGCGTCAGGGGCGCAGATCGAGTTCCACGACCAGGCCGAGAAGAGGATGAAGCCTGGATACACAACACCAAGAAAAGACCTCTAACTTCGTCAACCCCAGCAAATTAAAACAATAACATTCATCTCGAGCAAAATCCACGATAGTGAGAATTCTTTTTACTTTCGTAAAAACGATAAACTGGCAACTAGCGTTGATGGTAGTGTTCAAGTTTATGGTGCACCGTCTTAGGTGTTGGGATGGGAAATTGAATACTTCAAAAGTGTTCAAAAGTAACTAAGGCTTCATGACCAACCCTTTTTAGTATTCAAATATTAGGTCCCACACTTAAAATTGTGCAACGGAGTGTTGACCACTTGCATGTGCACGCCAGTTGCACACTTTATGTGTCAGTGTTGAGCTGCCCCTCTCCCTTTCAGCGGTTCTCTTACACGAGCGCCCTCCTCGCCCTCATACTCACCGACGATGAGCGCGGACTGCATGAACAGCTCGCCATTGCTGTTGGTCGGCGCCACGTAGGCCAGCGCGAAGCACGTGTTGGCGATGTGGTACAGGATGTTCTGCGGGTCCCGCCACTGGTCGCACCAGGATCCGCCGCCTGCGCAGGAAAAGGTCAGACAAAGTTCCCTCTCGAGTCCCCTCGCCTCGCGCCCCGCCCCAAAGGCCAGGGGGTGTGTGTCGCGCCCTGCATAGGGGATGATTTGTCTTTATGGGCGGCTGCACGTCATCGGGCCGCCCGGGCAGGGTGGCTGGAGGGCGCGGGGGGCATGAGTTGGGTAGACAGATACCCCCCGCAAGCGAACGGAAAAGCGATTGGCGGCGATGGCTTGTAGGGATTTGTGCGTCCATTCCGCTCCCCGCTTTCGGTGTACTGCCCTCGCGTGACCCTCTCCTCCCACCCCTCCCCGTTGTCCCCCGCTACCAACTTCCCCCACCCCCGCCAACCGGAGGAGTACCTCCGGAGGACCCCTTTCGATACCCCCTTCCCCTTCTCCGTACCACCTCGGCGACGGCCACCGCGGCGTGTTTTAGG